AACGGAATTGAAGCAAAGCTAGCTCGAGGCTATTCTCTCATTATCAATTTTTAAATCTTATTCTTTATTTACTACTTTCATTTATTTACTTTCATCTTTTACTCGCTAACCCCCTTTTTATTTATTTTTGGTACAACTGCTTTGCAAGGAATCAACAAGTTTTTACATTAGGAATTTCTAAGTTCCTACGGATCGACCCTTTTCTACACTATTCTTATTTTTATTATTTTATTTTGAGAAGATGAATTTATTTGACGAGTAAAACAACACTTGTCATTGCGTTTAGAAACAAATTTATATTTTATCCTTACTTATGTATGGGCTCCACTCATTTGCCTTGAAAAATAACATTGAAATTCAATTTCTTTTATTAATTATGTATTACATTTTATTTCAATAATTTTAATAACACCCTTAAATAATATTTTAATTCATATTAATTTATTTTAATTACTTAAAATAAATAAATTTATGATTTATATATTAAAAATTAATAGTTAGATATTATAAATATATTGTATATTTTTTTATAATTTAAATTTATATATTTCATATATAATAATTTTATTTGAATATATATATATATATATATATATATATGAATGGTTAAAAGGATAAATATATCATTTAAATTAGTTTATTTTAAATTTTAAATAAGTGATCGTGATTAAATTTAAATAATTAAAATATTATCTTAAATTTCAAATGTTAAATGAGTGGTTGGTAAATTAGAATTATTATTATTTCGTAATAATTTTAAATTCACATGTTAAAAAATATTGATAATATATTTTTAAATATTAATATATAAAACATTTATCTTTTCAAAATTACTTTTTAATAACAATTTTAAACAGTTAAATTCTAAACTACACTCTTAAAAAATATTTTTTAAAAATGTAATACTTTTAAAAATCATTTTTCAAAAACAATACTAAACAGGCCACTTCCTTTAACATCCACGTTTGAATCCTCCCTTGATCACTTTTGGTTCCATTTTTTATGGCATTGCATATTTTAAGATATAAACATATCTTGTAATCAATACACCAAATGCAACAATTGACTCAGCGATAAAGGTATGGGATTTCCTTCCCATACGAAGTGGCTAAGTCCAAATTTTATCACTTACATTAATTGAATTAATTTAAAAATAGAATCAAACAATATAAATTTTATAAATAATGAGAATTAAATATTTAATTATATTATTTTTAAGAATTTTGGAAATTAGAAGTTGAAAAGATGATGGTCTAGTGGAAACGATCGGTGGGTGATAATTCAGCGACGACGATAGCGATTTACGATGACCAAAGATAATAATAAAGGTTTGAGATTTCTTTTTTTTAGATTTGAGATAAATTTTAAGGTTATTTTGGAAAATAATGATACATTTTTTTTGCTAATAGAATTTTCAAAGAATTATAAACTTATCATGTGTCTTCTTTTGAATAGTTAATTGATTCTCTAATGCTCGTTAACGATTAGATACTTAAAATGGTAATGAAAAAAAAGGTTAGACATCTATCTTGGCAAACAAATTTGGGTAAAGTACACAAATGACCTTCCCCCTATATGATATTGTTTTGTTGAGTCCCTCAATTATTAAAATTTACAAAATAGTCCCTTAACTATAAGATGTTGTTTTGTTGAGTCTTTCAACTATTAAAAGTTATAAAATGATCACTTGACTATTCATATATTCCAAACTCATAATTTTTCGTTAAAAAATTGTTGGTCATTTGAGCTGGACATTAACATGTTGATTGTGATATAATAAAATTTGATCATATAATTGTTCAAGTTGTATTTTATGGATTGATTCTATTTATATTATATCGTTGAGCGAATGCTTATAATCAACGACAATGCTAGTAGACATCGTTAAAAATATGATTTTATCATATTTCAGTCAGCATGTTAACGTCCAACTCAGACGGCCATCAATTTTTAATGGAAAACGATGAGTTTGAAGCATATGAATAGTCGAGTGACCATTTTATAACTTTTAATAATTTAGGGAATTAAAAAATAACACCCTATAGTTGAGAGACTATTTTGTAGATTTCAATAGTTGGGAGAATCAACATAACGATGTCTTATAACTAGGGACTATTTGTATACTTTACCAAAAAAATTTAGACACGTAAAGTGAATATAAGATATAAATTAGACACTTAGGGACCATTTGATTTTAGAAAATATAGTCTATTTTTATTTTCTTAGAAAATAGAAAACATTGAGTAAAGCATGTTTGAGTGTAAAACTAGAAAATAATTTTTAAAAAATGAAAATAAAAACGAGTGAAAAATTGAAATCAGAAAAAGATGTTTTCTCTATTTTCATTAAAATTGTTTTGATAATTTGTAAAATAATGAAATGTGGTATCTAGATTTTTAACTTAACTTACACAAGTTTAAATCAAATCCTTAAACTTTTGTAATAAAATCAATATGGTCCCTAAACTTTTTTTTACGCTCAATGTAGTCCTTAAATTAATTTTTTAATAATTTAATTTTGTAGTATTTTTATATTTAATGTATTTAATATCTTAACAATTATTTATATTTTTAATCTAAATATTTTTTTTAATTTTTAAATAAATAAATAAGTCCTCAAACTTTCTAAACTAATTAATTAAGTCCATCTACCACATTATCGTCCATCAAGTACTGCCACAACAGTATCGTGAACTATCACATCAATATTATAGATTATCTATTAGTTTGTGAACTGTCATATAAGCGTTGTGACGATCAACGTTTGATTCTGCTATTTAAAGAGTTAGATTATTTTTTTATAAGTTTAAGGATCATATTTGGTAAAAAAATGTTTAGGGACTACACTAATTATTTTTTCTCAAAACTTTGAGGGTCTCAATTACCACTAAATATATTTTTTATGTTAATGACACTTTTGTATGCTATTGCTTATAACAATATATTTTTATTTTTTAAATTTAATTGATGTTCAATATGCATTAACATCAAATTTTTATTATAAACTAAAATAAATTTTTTGTTATAAAATTTCTTATCAATTTTGTTGTTTTATATTTACATAATTATAAACTAAAATAAATTTTTTGTTATAAAATTTCTTATCAATTTTGTTGTTTTATATTTACATAACTCACATGTTAAATTTATGTAATGATTTTTTAAATAGTTATAGTTTAATTTAATTATTTAATAATTATTTATTTATTTCTATTTTAAAATTATGGATACCACATACATTTGCACTATTTTAGTTTTGAATTCAAGTTTTTTATTTATATTAACCAAATATATTTTATATTTTTTAAAAAAATTAAAAATAAAAACTATTTTTTGAAAACAAAAACAGAAAATAAATATAGAAAATATTTTCTAGAACCAAACAGACACTTATTTTCTAATTAAGCCTAATAATAATAATAATAAGAGTAAACTATATCATTGCCCACCTAACTATTGTCCATTTTCATTTTGACCACCATTTTAAAAAGTTTGACAATCAAGTCACCTAAATATTTAAATGCATTCAATCAAGTCACCTACCGTTAACATTTGAGGGAAGTATTGACGTAGTAGTTAATAAAATTGGTATAATTACATATTTGGTCACTCTTACTTTTATATTCTATCAATTTGGTCCTAATTTTAATAAATTAAAATAAATTTAATCCTCTAATAAGATGATTTGATTGAAGATTAAATTTATTATTATTTTTTTAATTAAGTAGACACGTGTCAACCTCTTCTGAAAAGAAAATTAAAGGCATTTGAAAAGGGGGACTATGGGGATTGAGCTTGGGTTGATTGTGTGAGGAAGGAGAGACTCAACTATCGGGACAAGGCTAATTATTTAGCTTTAAGTGGACTGCATATTATATATAACATGTATCTTAGTGTAATTTTAAATTCTTAATATTATATATATTTTAACTTAAATCCACATCTTAATAAAATTGAATATATATTTTATTCTTATTTTAAATAAAAAATTTATATTTTATTTTACTTTAACTTAAATATTTAAAATTAATTTTTATAATATTTTAAAATTAAGATAAAAATGAGATATATATTTTTCAGTTAAGATACAAATAAAATATATTTCTTAAATTAAAATAAAAATAAAATTTTAAATTAAGATTAAGATTAAGATTAAAATAAAATATATATTTTTAGGTTAAGATAAGAATAAATCATATTTAATAATTTAATGTAAGAATAGAATATATCTAATAATTTAAGTCAATAATTTAATATATTTAATATTTAAGATAAAAATAAAATATATTTTCAAAAGTTAATATAATAAAAAGTATATTTTTTAAGTTAAGGTAAGAATAAAATATATTTTATAAGTTAAGATAAGATTAAAATATATTTTTAATTAAGATAAGGATAAAATATGTTTAATAAGTTAAGATAAAAATAAATTATATTTTTTAATGTTAAGATGTGAATTTAATTTAGTATGTGATTTTAAGTTAAGATATATATATTATTAAAAATTTAAGATTAGACTAAGAAACAAAATATATACTATTTGAAGTATTTTTTAAAATAAATAACCAACTTGGCCTAGTGGTTGACCTCCTCCTTTCTTTCCAAAGGGACACTAGTTTTAGTCTCAAGCTTTTCCCTCTAGTGTTCTTTATTTTCTTTTCACTAGACACATGTCACCATTGAATGAAGGATTAAATTTATTTTAATTTATTAAAATTAAGACTAAATAGATAGAAAATATAAGTAAGACTGATCAGATTATAATTATACTAATTTTATTAACTGTCGTGCCAGCGCTTCCGTCGAATATTAATGACATATAACTTGATTGAATGCATTTAAATAGTTAGGTGACCTAATTGATAAAATTATAAAAATGGTGATCAAAATTAAAAGAGACAATAGTTAGATGGTAAATGGTATAGTTTAGCCTAATAATAACAATAAATGGCAGATTGGTAATTTGGAGAGAGTCCATGTCAATCTGATGAACAATGAATGGAAAGCTCCAACGTGTTTCACTATTTTGCCCATCTTTTAATTGGAAAAAGTGAAAGAAAAACCCACCAAACATCCACGCACAACTTCACAGTTGAGAGAGAAAACAAGTGAAGGATTGAGAACTGCAATCACTCATCGTCGACACGGGAAAGCATGGAACTTTTTCCAGGTTCGAACCCAAAACTTAATAATAACGTAAACAAAGAAAAGTCTAACATTTTCCCTTGATCCCTTGATCGTTTTCATCGTCCAACAACAATGGGCTTTTCTTTCCTGTTGCTTTCTTCTAATAATTGGGTTTCTTTTTGCTCTTGTTAGTATCGATCTTTTCATAGGGTACTCTTTCTTTAGCTATTTTTCAATTGCAGGGTTTAACATGTGAAATCTAAGCTTTTCTTTGGAGTCCTTGACTTGATTTTGGTTGTTGGTTTTTATAATTTCATGTTTCTAATTACTGGGTTTTTAGCTTTTAACTTGTTTATCCTATTTTGGTTTTCCATTATACCTTATCGTAGATCATCAGTTAGTATCTTAAATGCTTACTTTCCTTTTTCTGTTCATTCACAATTCAAGTTCTCTGTGTTCGTTGTGGGTGCAGTTGTTTCGTCATACAAAGGTCGATTGGCATCATAATTTTTACACTTTGTTGGTGTATACAAGGTGAGCTTTTGATTAATTTTAGTATCATTCCATGATATTCATTGGTTTTGATTTGATTACCGGTGACTCTGTCTTGCTTTTGTTTTTCCATCTGATTTTGTTAAAAGATAATTGAGCTTGTGTGGGAGTGGTGGCAGCTATTATAGTTGTTGATAAGTAATTGCTAAATGGCGGAAATGATCGGACCGAGGTTGTACAGTTGCTGCAATTGCAGAAACCAAATTGCCCTTCACGATGATGTTATATCCAAGTCCTTTCAGGTAATGATCTCATCTCGATACTGATTTTGTTGCATTTATGCACAGTATGCCGGACTCATTGCTGCTGATTCCACTTTTCAGAGCTTATCAGGAAAAATGGAAGGCGAAAACTAGAAATTTTTTCCATTTCATATGAAAACATTTACCCCTAAAATGTTTGGATCAAATGTATTGTAAAGCAAATCAGTCTTGTTGGAAGAGTTCCATTAGAACATTAGATATATGCTCCAATGGTTGATTAACAATGTTAGTTTCAGGGGAGAAACGGTCGGGCCTTTTTGTTCTCCCATGCAATGAACATAATGATTGGTCCTAAAGAGGATAGACAATTGATGACTGGTCTTCACACGGTTGCTGATGTCTACTGCTGTGATTGCCGTGAGGTGTTGGGCTGGAAATACGAGCGAGCTTACGAGGAGACACAGAAGTACAAGGAAGGGAAATTCATTCTCGAGAAGTCGAAAATTGTCAACGAGAACTGGTAGTGTTACCCATGTTTTTTCTTTTCTGGATGATCCTCCTGATTATCTACCTAGTAGATGGATGCCTTTCAATGTTTTTCTTCTTCTCAATCAAAAAAATATTCTGTTCCTCCCGGTGCATTCTTGTTATGTTCGACAGTATGTTATTCATTTTGTTAATAAATTTGTGAATGAATGATTTGAAACTGGATTTTAGTTCAATTGGTTCATATAGTTTACCTTGAAACTGGATTTTCGTTCAATCTGTGCATGTATTTTGGTTTTAGTAGGAACTTATGTGTGTGCCGCTAGATTGTATCCTATTTGAAACTTGAAAGAGCACAAGCTTGTATGTTTCAGATGCTTGAATGCATACATATAGGTTTTGATGAGAACTGCTGTTACGTATGCGGTTTCTGTTATGTCCTATACAAGATTATCTCGAAAATGATTGTTGTTCGATTCAGGATTGGTCTCGGCTTTTGTATTGGTGAATATTACATGGTTTTCGTTTCGGGTAGACAGATAACAGAGTATCCTGATTGGATCTGACGTTTTGTAGTTCTTTATGAATAGAAGAAGCGATACTAATGAAATTTGGCTTTAAAACTAGATATGAGCAATTCTTATAACCTAGTTGAATGGTTTTTTTCTAGAGTAAATGATTGAATGGTTTTTTTTCTTGAGTAAATGATGATCGAAATTGGATTCAACAGGAGTTGGATTGTTCTTTGTAATTTGGCGTGTCTCTATTGTGTCATATTCGGTGTGTTTTAATCAGAGTCATCTCGAAAATTTCCGAGGCCCTAAACAAAAACTCAAAAACAGGCTTCTATAGAATAAAAGTATATTACATTACTTTGAACAATTAATATGCGTAGAGGGTTTCTCTACCCTTTTGATAATGCAAAAATGGGATGTGATTCTAGAAAAAAACAATGTAATATACTTGATTAACTCTTATGATCATTGTGTTATAAAATATTGATAAATTTTGATAAGTTTTAAGGATCTTTTTGTAAAAATTTGATAAATTTAACAACCATTTTGTAATAATTTAATAAAGTTCAATGATCATTTTGTAATTGTTTGAGAAATTTAATGACTATTTTGTAATTTCTAAACTGTCGATGACTAAAAACATATTTCTGCATTTAGTTACCATACTTTATCCTTTAATATAAGAGAATTCTTTTTTTTTTTTAAATAAAAATATAAGAGAATTCTGTGTTCCATGTAACGGTGTAGTTGGTTATCATGCTAGTCTAGCACAAAGATACGGGCATGGATCTAAATAGCGGACCGCTATTGGCACAACAGTGACAGAGTCATGTAGGTCCGAGGTCTATGCCCCCAATTTTTTTATCATTAAAATGTACAGGGATAATTGCTAATTTAGATCTTTAAATTTTGGGATTTAAGGTTTAGGGTTTTAGTGATATATGTAATCGTTATTGTATGATTGCAATACCCATAAGAATTGTAATCGCACTTATTATATCTACAATCACGATAAATTAAGACGATAAAAAATACAATCACAACCACAATTTAAATCTCTAGATATGGGCAAAAATGGAGGTTGTTCCACAATCTAAAGTAGGGCAGGAGTGTAAATGAGCAAAGTGTTTGGTGAATATTTTGTGAAGCGTTCATATAATGTTCCTTTATGTTTGTTAAGTTAAATAAACTAGTATGAACAAATTTTTTTATATTCAATTAATAAACAAATGAACACGAATAGAAATGTGTTCAATTCGTTAATGTTCACGAACAAATTCGTTTATAAGCTCATTTATTTATGTTTATGAACAAGTTTTTACCTGGTTCTCTTGTTCTTTTCTTTTTTTACATTTTAAATATTGATGAAGGTAGTGACCAAATTGAATACATGATAAAAATTGAAATTTAAACTATGAATTTTAAAGAGTTTAAGCACTAGTGGCATAATTTTACCATTTTGCTTTAGCTTGAAAGGATAAAATTAAAAATTAAACATATAAATGAAAATTGAACAAATATTAAACCAACATATTCATAAATAACAAACAAGTTCGTGGACATATAAATGAGCACGTTCGTGAACATATAAACGAGCACGTTCGTGAACATATAAACGAACACGTTCACGAACATTAAACAAACATGTTCACGAACAATAAATAAACGAGCACAGATACGATACTAAAAATTTAAACGAACAGAATATAAACAACTTAAAAAAAAACGAACAATAACATAATTTTATTCGTTCAAGTTTAGTTCATTTTCGCCCATAAATCAGGCTAATCGTATCGTTATAGAGCAATTTCTTACCGTGATCCTTGTAAACATTACATTCCTGTGTTTGAGTGATCTTTTTACACCAATTCTTTGGTTTTGATATTTCTTACTATATCTATGAATTCATTTTCAGAATTAATGAATTCATACGAGGCAGATTGAACTCAGACCCTTTGAAGAGCCTTCACAGTTCCCTAATTTTTCTCTTCACCTGATAAAGATTTATCTTTCATTTCGCTTTGCATGCACTTATCATCATTGATTCCGAATTCAGCTAGCCTGGCTAGTTCTTCCTCATCATCGACCAGGGCTTCGATCCGTCCCGAAATTTCAATCAACATTGATGCCAAAGTCACCACTTGTATGATGTCCATGAGAGGCACTGTTGGTGTTGCTTCCCTGCAGGCTGCATCCAACGTTTTGTTTTCCGAAACCGTCGATTGTTCTGGCAAACGAGGCAGCAATTTCAAGTCACTCTCGAGTTCTTGCACTGCGTTGTTCATTTCACTAACCAATAAATCTATGGTGGAGGATTTCTTCATTGTCTTCAAATTTTCCGCAAGCTCTCGTATGGCGTTCGAGGCGCAAGAACTCACTTTCAAGCAACCTGTGCTAAAATGCTTCTTTATCGATTTAGCAGCCTGATTTTCGGAACTGATGCAACCGATGAGAGTCTCTATGCAGTAAGCACAGCTGCGCATCGATGAACCGACTTTTACGTACTGTCTCCACGGGTGCCGGAAGTTGAACTTGCCATGGGAAGGTTCCCACCTAGCAAAATTTGCCTGCAGGAAGCAATGCCAATTTACTTATCATGTCAAAGATTAAAAACACAACATTCTTAGTCTATAATGTCACTTACCATAGATTCTTCAGATGCCTTGGAGCTTAGCACGCACTTGTAGCCTTGTAATTTGGTGCATTCCCCACTCTGGTTAAAATACTGTGTCACACAACCTGCAAAACATAGTGGGAAAGCTTAGTTCTTCATCCATGATGAAGTTATGATCCAGAACTAACGAAATCGAAGAAACTAACCATCGAGGGAATCGGCAAGTTTGTCCATGTTACGTACGATCAGGCTGTGAAGCTCTTGGCCGGACCAAATGGGGCAGACAAGCATGATCACAATGATGCACAGTGAAGTTCCAATGATAATGGTGGATATTCTATGATGTGCAAACTCAAACAATTTATCCACTCTGTAGCCTGATACTACAACGAAGCTGAAAGTGAGGGTGAAGACCATGGCCCCATAATCAAACAGGGACTTCACCGACGGAATGAGTCGAGAGAAAGTTGCTGCCGAAGCTGAAAAGGGATCACCAATCAAGGTTTAGCATTGTCAAAAATGAAGAACAAGGACAAGAAAGCAACTATATATCAATCAACATTACCTAATAGGAAAACTGAGGCTCCCACAACATAGGGTTCAAGCGTCTCGCCTGATCGAGCGGCAAGCCAGTGTACCCCCACCGCGAGAAATCCGGCTAGAAAGGTTGCGAAAACTCTGTTGATACACTTGTATACCGTTGCTCCTGTAATGAGTTAAAAGTAGTGATTTTCCGTTCAAATAAAAGTTTTGAAGAACTTACGTTTGTGTATATATATATATATATATATACTTACCAACGGTTGTCTCAAATACAAGCACAACTGTCATAAGAGCCCACATGGCATTGCCTCCAACACCATCATACAAAGGCCTAATGAAGTAGAAAAGTGATACAAGTGCTAGTGCCAGTCCTACCTTCACGCAATGGATTACTTTTCTAGGATCATTAGCCCCAACGTCCCATGCTCTCTTAAGAAACCTCCACACATTTGAAGCAAATCGCCGAATTATGCCTTTTAGTCCGAGCCAGGCTCTTCGTGCAAGCCCCGTAGCCGGAACCAAAGCCTCCGATGATCCATCGGCCACCCTTATCCTCCATTCCACTCCCTCAAGTGTTTCCTGTCCATTAGCCATTTTCATACGCAGAGTTATTGGAGCTATAGTTGAAGCCAAGACAGCAAGGAATGTGAGGCTGAGGCTTTGGTGGTCAAAATTAGTGTGATTAGTAGATTATATAAAGGGGTATATGAGTTGGTTGGGGGATTCTAGAGGCGATATTCTAACGGTTTTGGTAGGTAATTAGGTCTTGATGTGGACAGAGAGACCCATTTCTTTCAATTTTTTAACTATGGGATTATTTCAAGTTAAAGAAGGATTTGATAACCAGAAATGCAATCGTCACCGAGCAACGTTTATGCGAGGATAATATTTGTTATAAAATGAATGTCAATGAAGCATAGGCATAATGTTAGGGGGGGAAAAATTTAACGTTAAATCAAATGATCCTTTTCTTTCGAGTATTTTGGGCCAACGTTTTATTTTAGGGAAAAAAGACGTCTAATGTTTGACTAAATAATCATTTTCTTGTTTGAGCATTTTAACCTCCAATATCTCATTTTAGAGAAAAAAGACTCCTATTTTAGAGTGTTATCATTTGTTAACTAACGATTTCCATCTACGGAGACTTTTTTGCCTCAAAATGAAATGTTGGGATCAAATTGCTTCAAAATAAGAATATAGGCTGAAGTGATTATTTAGTGAAACGTTAGATGCATTTTTTCTAGGCATAATATCAAAAAAACCCTCCTAACATTTGATTAAATAGTCATTTTGGGCCCTATTCTTTTTTGGAGTATTTTGGTATTCAATGTTTTATTTTAAGGCAAAAAGACCTCTCCATAAATGGAAACAAATAGTTAACAAATGATTAACACTCCAAAATAGGAATCTTTTTACCCTAAAATGAAATATTAATGGTCAAAATGCTCCAAAAAAGAATAAGAGCCAAAGTGACTATTTTATCAAATGTTAAGGGTCTTTTTATCATAAAATAAAATGTTTGAAGTCAAAAAACTTAAATAAGGAATAAAAACTAAAATGATCATTTTGATAACATTGTGACTGATTTTAGTATTATGCTTTTTACTATGTATATCACTTGAAAACTATAACAAAGCTAAACACCAAACTATGATGTGAAGCTGGAGACATAATGTGTCCTAAATTGTAAAGCTAAACGTCAGCCGACCAATAATTAGGTCATCAAGATATTTTCTCTCTGTGCTCAACTTTCCTCCTTAGTGAAACTCTGAGTGGAGTCCTCTTTAATCTTTCCCGTGCATGCATATCAATTAGCTAAGAAAGAGCGCCAACCTTTTAAATAGTGCGCATCAATATCTTGATTTTTCTAATAATTGCTTGTTTTATTACCCAAATAAGCAAAATTGTGCTACAGTACAACACACTACAAGCATACAACTCTGTAATACTCTATTGTACATAATAGTATGCTTTACAAACACACTATTCTAAAATGTTCCACATTGTATCTAATCTCTCTATACATTTCCTACTCAGTCACATACCGATCAAATCATGTTGTATAATGCAGTAATGAATGCGACGTTGCATGTTGAATGATACTAAGGAGGCTCGAGAGAAGTTATTTCATTTATTAGGTTAAACAATCATGATAAGAAAAGGTGATGTAAGGCACTTGTGCCTTGATTGTAGATCTAGTGAAAGAATAAGTCCCTGTAGTAAGACAGGCTCAAAGAAGAAGGCGGGTAGTTGATATAATGGTGAAAAGGGTGGACTTGAATGAAGAATAGATCATGAAAAGAATACAATGGAAGTAGGTTGGTTTTGGTGTTGATGCAAGCGTGGTGGTGGCTTATGAAACAATGGAAATGGCTTGGATAGTATATTAAGCAACAAGGAAGAAACTAACACCAATCCTTACGAGTTACTTGAGGGTGATAAGAACAAACTTGGCCCCTTTGACTATAAAAAGTCAAGAAACACAAGTATCTATGGAAAAGAGAGGGGTTGACGCCACAAGTACACAAGACACATGATAAGTCAATAGAGTTATTAAATAAATTGGAAAAGAGGAAGACCTCACAAATTGGATTAATGTAATAGGAGATGCCTTGCAACTAGCCAAGGTATTGGCTTATATAGAAAATCAAAGGGAAGGTCGAATGATTACAAAGCGATTCAGCAAGGTGCTTCCCATGAAGTTACATGATTCTTTAATGATTCATTACAACCTTTGGTGATGAATAAGCATGGTGTTGGTTCGGTAAGCCTTTAATACACATTGGGGTCCTTTTATGGCTGAATAAAGATGATGGTTCGGCCTTGGTGTAGTTTGAATGAGTGATCATAAAGGCTTGGCCGAATAGGCTTGTGTTGCTTCATCATTGGCGCCAAAATGAGTGGTTGGTGTTGCTTAGGCTGAATGGTGATGCCCTTTGGATGTTTAGTTCCTAACTTAAATCAAATAGGGTGCTCATTGCTTTTATGATGCACATGGCAACCTCCTTGATGCACATGAACTCCTTTTGAATGTAGATAACTCTCCACGCCAAGCATTAGGTAGGTTAGGCCATAGGATGCAAGATGAGCACATGGTAGGTGATTGGTACTAAGGTGAATGCATAGGTAGCTAGCTAGGTGAGTAGTAACTAGGTAGACCAAGCTAGCTAATGAGACTCCAGCTACTAAACTATTATCTCCCATTGCCTTTAGTCCTCACCTTAGCTAATAAGTCCTCAGCTACCTTCCAGCTACTTTTAGCTCCTTTAGCTACTCCCAAGCTAGTGTTCTTATGATAAGTGTTGAATATTGCATATTTTTACTATTATTTATTCCTTATTTTTCATTTGAATATTAATGATTTATCTTTATTTTGGAATTATTTTGGGCATGACCTTTGTTGGATTAATTAGCCCAAAAACTAGCTGTTGAAAATATTTTTGATGTTTCGATATAACAAATTAAGTGTTATTGAATTTTAAGATTTTATAATCATTTTTTAAAGTATATTAGATTAAATTTTTCGAATATCAAAATATTACTCCAAGTTTTTTTTTCAAAGGACAATTTCAATCCTTATTAAAGTGTACAATTGTGTTGTAAACTTAAAATATTTTTGAAACAATTTTTACAAAGTATTTCGAACCAAAATCGAGCCAAAAATCAATTTTATGAAGGGATGTACCGATGCACTATTTGATGTATCGATGCACACCCTAATTTGAATGCATTTTGTGTACCGATGCACAACCATGCATCGATGCACTCTTGATTTTATTGAAACATCGAATGTATTTTACGTACCGATGCACATACCATGCATCAATGCACTCCTGGCTCTTTTGAAACATCGAATGTAATTAGTGTACCGATGCACACCAAGTGTACCGATGCACTAGGTCTTATAACGGTCAAAATATTTGAATTTTACACAGCGTACCGATGCACCTATGCTCCCAACCAGATTTTTAAATGATAATTACACAATAACGACTCTATTGACTTCACCAATGATCCCCAACGTTCAAAAGTGATTCAAGGTGTATTTAAACAAGCTTAGGAGCCTTTGATCAATAACAATTAAGAAGAATTGAGAGAGAATCAAAGAGAAAGCATCAAACCTCAAGTTTGAGCATTTTCAAGCCTATTTCATTCAATATTCATTTTTGCTTTCAAGAACACTTATTGTGCTCAATTGTATTATTCTTGAGTGTTCCTTCTTTGTTCTAGAATTGTGCAAACATCTTACCTTGTGAGATTTTTCTGTAAGTTTGCAAATTTGTGTATTTATCTTTGAGAAAGAGTGTTCTCAAGAATTTGGGGTATAATTCTTGAGGGAGTTGTAAGGTTACTCTCTGTCCCCAAAAGAAAGAACAAATTAGTAAATTTGTTGGAAAATCCTTAGTGTGGATAACTAAGGTAGTGTACGTAGACTTTGGTTGAGAAAGTCGAACCACTCTAAATAGTTGTGCAATTATTTTCTATTTTCTGCAAAAGCTTCCACCAAAATTTTTATTGCCAACTCAACCCCTCTTGGCTATTTCGTCGATCTATTAACTCAATAATTGGTATCAGAGCCTCACTCATTTGAAGGTTTAATCACCTCTTGAGTCGATTCGGGAAGAGTTATATCGATATTCAAGTCATCAATAGCCTCTACTTCAAACTTCGACTTTGGTCTTGATTCATTGCCTGTCAAAAAGCCTCATTTCTTCAATGGAGATAATTATGCTTATTGGAAGAATAGAATGAGGTACTTAATTCAAGCAAGTGACATGGGAGCATGGAATATCATAGAAGACGGTTACATCATTCCTTCCACTTATTCAAGATTGTGGAGTGAAGGAGGACAAGAATGTTCCAGCTCAACTCAAAGGCTATCCATATTATTTTTTGTGCTCTTGGACCAGATGAATACGGGAGAGTTTCATATTGTAAAACCTCCAAGAAGATATGGGATAAACTACAAGTCATTCATGAGGGCACAAACGAGGTAAAAGAATCTAAAATTAGTCTTCTAACTCATAGCTATGAAAATTTCAGGATGAAACCGGATGAAGATATCAAAGCTATGACGGATAGATTTTCCACGATTGTCAATGGTCTCAAATCATATGGAGAGATCATTCCAATGAAAAGCTTATGAGGATGTTAGTTTACTCTCTTCTAAAATCTTGGCAATCAAAGAAGACGACGATCATCGAGGCTAAAAACTTAAAATCCTTGACCCTTGATGAGCTAATTGGTTCTCTCCTCACACATGAAATGATGCTTTAAGATGAGGTAGACCTCGAAAAGACAGAAGAGACAACGAAAGAGACGGAGAAGAAGAAGAACGTTGGAGTGGCTCTCAAATCCATAAAGCATGAGAGTGATTCAGATGAAGATGACAATGACGATGACAAGGAAATTACATTATTTGCCAAGCGGTTCAGAAAACTAATGAAGCCCAATAGAGGAAGAAAATTCAAACTTAATGAAGGATGAATTATAAGGCACACGTGGCTACATGGAGCGATGAAGAAGCTTTCGATGAAGAGGAACAAGAAGTAGCAAACTTGTGCTTGATGGCTTTCGGGGAGGATTCTCAAGTA